TTATCGATCCCCATTCCTTCTCCCAGAAAAGAGCAGGCCCTTTGCCATGTTTTGCTGAATATGAACCCCAAAACATCCATCCCCTTGGCCGTTGTTCACGCTAAACGATACAAGTCGGGTCGTATGCCTCGTCTTTGCGGCGCGTGACCCAGACCTTTCGATGGGTACCGGCAGTCACCCGGGTCTCGTCGGTCCAGAGGATATCGTGGTATCGCTCGAGAGGCCAGTGTACACGCTCGAGAGCGTTGTCAAGGCGGAGTTGTCGGTTCTTCTCGGTAATCGGGGGCTTTCGAAATGCAACATAGCGTTTGAAGCCAGCGTTGCGAAGGGCGTAGCGGATAGCGTACTCCGAACAGTCCCACCCAAGAGCAAGAGGGATCCTCGAGTAAGGCATTCGGCGAGACGCTTTTGAGGAGGTAACAAAGGCAATCAGCTCTTCGACCTGTTCAGGGTTGAGAAGGCCAGGGCGACCAGAGCGCTTCTTTGGTGTGATATTTGGAGCGCGGCAAGCATGTCCAACTTGGTTGTAAGTAAGGCCAAGTTGTGTAACGATTTGCTCGTATGAAAGGCCAAGATTGCGGAGGGTTTGAACTTGAAGCCGCTCATCGCGAGTAAGATCAGGGTTCTTGAAACGCTGACTGGGTGGTGTAGAGGGGGCCTCTGAAGCCATTGCAAAGGTGGTGATGTTTTTCTGACTCGACGGCCACGCGCGACGCGTTGGTACATTGATGGGGAGGGTGGGCCTCTGTCCGTGACCCTGGTCGGTACCCGGCCCACTTTGAAAACTTTTGCCGGCAACCACAGTAGTAGCCTAGGCAAAATATTCTACGTCTCTTGACCCAATCTACAACGCTCACCACACGGTGACTTATTCTTGTTCTCGACATGGCCGGCAGCAGGAGATACACCGGACTGGCAAGTCGCCAGCGACCGACTCTTTCAAGTCACCGGCCGACGCTGGTATCTCCCAAAGTCAAGGACTGCAAGTGGCCTGTTGAAGATAGGCCCAGGGACGAGAAGCAGGTCAGTCAAGGCCGATGGTTTGCTGTCTAGTCTGGCACGCCCTAACTTGTTACTGCCATTGAACTTGGGTGGGCCAGGAGCCACAGGACCTAGAAGATCAAATCCCATAGGATGAGAAATGTAGAAAGTCCCGCGGCGGCAAAGAAGGTGTAGCGGGCGGGGCTAGCCTTGGCCGCGCTCTTCTTGAGCTCCTTGTTCCCCTTGCCGATGCCCTCGGTGGTTTCAAACGAGTCGGCGACCAATTGGTCAATGTGCGCCGACTGCGTAGCGAGATTGCTGACGAGCATTGTCTGGAGCTCGGCGATTTCGACGAGTGAGCTCTCAGCCGTCCTGTACCACGGCGGTTAGGCAAGCGCGCTGGCGTGAGAAAGTGTGTTGGCCTAGCAGCAGCAAACCCACCTGACTTGATCCAGCGTGCTCTCGAGGTGCTTGAGCATGTCCTGGTTGCCCTTCTCAAATAGTTGCATCTGGTCGTCCGTCAGGTTCTCCACCCCGGGCCTCTTCCGGTCCTCCTCTTCCGTCACTGACACGCCCGGACCGCTGGGAACAACAAGGCCCGAGGCGGGGTTCCGCCCGCCATGAATCGTTGGTTGATATGCCGGCAACGCCATAGCCGGGCCCCTAGCCTTGGCCAGCACGCTCCTGTTCTTCTCCATCTCCCTCGACAGGCGCGTCTCCATCATCTGCTGCTGCGTCCGCGCTGTCTCCTGCAGGCGAGTGCGCAGGAACCAGATGACGCTCTCGCGGTGAGCACCGAGCTGGCGGGCGGCGGCCTCGAGCGTGGCCTGTTCGATGTGGACACCGGCGCCGCCGGCAGCCCAGGAGCCGAGCACGCCGCCCACCACCCCGCGCGACATGCGCTTCCGGAGCAGGGCCGCCTCGGTGTTTTGGCGCAGCTGTTCGGCATCTTCCAGGGCGCGGATGCAGGCATTGACGTCGCGGAGGGTCATCTTGGCGTTGGCGTCGATCTCCTCGCGGTCGCGGTCGGTGAGGAGGACATGTTGGGTCGGTGCCGCCGGGCGGGACGACGTGGTCCGCAGCTGTGTCTTGCGCGGGGCGGCGGTCGAGAGGTAGGCCTGGCGCAAGCTGCGCAGCTCAGAGTGCAGGCGGGCGATGAGCGAGTTCTGGGTGCGCGCGCAAAAGCAGTCAGCTGGGCTTGGTCCCCAAGAGAACAACAGCAGTGGGGGGCGAGAGGGAAACGGACTATTCGATATGCTTCCTTGAGAAACTCGTCGGCCGTCTCCAGGCTGAAGGGTTTTGTGGGAGGGACCTCATGGCTTTTTAGAAGACCGTTAAAGGTCGACGTCAAGTTGGCCATGTCGGCGCTTGAAAAAGGGAGACTGGTGGGCTAACAAGTGGAGGTGGTGAACATGGTGATCTGTACTGTTGATGGTCAATGACGGGACTCACGGGAGTGTCCAGATCGCGGTGTGGCTTGTGGCTAGTTAGCCGGGAGAAATAGTTAATTGATCTGTGGCTAGAGCCTGTTCAACTTGAGTGAGCGGGACCCACTTCCAGGCTGAACATCCGTGGATATCCGCATCTCGGCTCGTTCGCCTGCATCCGCTGCCATCCTCTCTCCATGCTGATGGTATTGTCCGCTCTGCATTGAGGAACGACATTTGCTGTTCTCCAGAGCTATGCCTGTGCTGTGTGCAGTCTTCAAGTTTGCTGCACATCTCATGGTTTCCCTTTCGTGACCTGCGTTAAATTGACAGGAGTCCCCTAAGGAAGGTACCCAGTCGGGCCTTCCGTCATCCGGCGCCAGGGATCCGCCACGGCCATCGCGACTGCCTCTCTGCATGCCGGAGCCGATACCGCAGTGCGGCTTCATGCCGGTCTTTGTTGCCTCTCGTACCTTCCAGGTTACAACCAATCACCACTGGTCCGGTGGCCGTCGACCTATGCTTGCTTCCTCCTATCGGGTTTTTGGTCCCGCTAAAACCCCACGGCTCGCGCTTTGCTCGGGAATAACTCAACCTTGTTCAACCCAAGGTGCGGCCGTCGCAGCCCTTGCCCAAGATGCAGGCAGCCTTTCTGGGTTGGATTCCCGCCGACATCCGGGTTAATATGGGAGCCGACGGCCGGCCTTTGCACGTCTTCCTCCTTCTCCCCTGGTCTCGGTGAGCAACTGAGCTGGAGTATTAGCCTGAGTACTCTCTAGTGAGTCTAGTCTTTACTGGTGAAGACGATGACATGGATCGCCGGGATCCTACACCAGAAGAAAAGGTCAAGGTTGAGACCGGGCTAGGCGACGCCGAAGTCCTGGGCCGCCCTGACCTGCTACTGTCACAGATCCCCATCCAGGACGGCACTCCGAGCCCTGGCTCCGTCGGCAACCCGCCGGTCAACAGCAAGGCGGACCATGACCCCGAACAACTCCGTCAAGTCCCGAGCGGCCCGGCCTACAGCGTCTTCTCCAAGTCCACCAAGAGATGGATCATTGCCATGGCCGCCTGCGCGAGCTTTGTCTCGCCCATGACAGCCAACATCTACTTCCCGGCCTTGAACCCCATCGCGGCAGCCCTCGGCGTCTCCATCAACCTCATCAACCTGACCCTGACCACCTACATGGTGTTCCAAGCCCTTTCACCCACCGTCGTGGGCGACTTTGGTGACATGGCAGGGAGACGGCCCGCCTTCATCATGTGCTTCGCCATCTATATGCTTGCCAATCTCGGCCTGGCCCTCCAGAACAACTATGCCGCCCTGCTGGTGCTGCGCATGCTCCAGAGCGCCGGAAGCAGCGGGACCCTGTCGTTGTCCTATGCAGTCGTGGCCGACATGGCCGTCAGTGCCGAAAGGGGCAAGTACATGGGCATCGTGGGCGCCGGCATCAACATCGGACCTGCTCTGAGCCCCGTGATCGGCGGCGTGCTGGCCGAGTATCTGGGCTGGCGCGCCATCTTCTGGTTCTGCCTCATCTACGCCGCCGTCTGGTTCGTACCCTACACTTTGGCCGTGCCCGAGACGTGCAGAAGGGTGGTCGGGAATGGTTCTGTACCGGCACGCGGGTGGAACATGACCGCCCTCGACCTTTTCCGTTGTCGTCAGAAGCCGCCACGCACCGGGGACGACCCGGACAGCGTCGCTCTTGAGCGCAAGCTACGCTTCCCCAACCCCCTCAACGCTCTGAGGGTGGTCTTCGAGAAAGATCTGGCCCTTCTTCTCTTCTACAACACCATGATATATCTCGTCTTCATCCTCATCGCAGCCACTCTATCTACCGAGTTCGCAGCTATCTACCACCTCACCGACCTGCAGGTCGGCCTCTGCTACCTTCCCTACGGCCTCGGCTGCTGCCTGGCCGCCATCATGCAGGGCTACCTCCTCGACAGCAACTACCGCCGGGTAGCCCGCAACATCGGCTTCACCATCGACTACAAGCGAGGCGATGACCTGCGCTCCTTCCCCATTGAAAAGGCCCGCCTGCTGCCCGTCTACCCCATCCTGGCCACGGGCATCGCAGCCGTCATCTGCTACGGCTGGGTCTTGCAGGCCGAGACGAACCTGGCCGGCCCTCTGGTCCTGCTGTTCGTCGTCGGCCTCTGCGTCACGGGCTCCTTTGGCATCCTCAACACCCTGCTCGTGGATCTGTATCCGGAGGCGCCCGCCACGGCCGTCGCCGCCAACAACCTGGTGCGGTGCCTCTTCGGTGCCGCCGGGACCGCTTTCATCGAGTCCATGCTCCGGGCCCTGGGCCGCGGCTGGACCTACACCTTTTGGGCGCTCGTCCTCGTCGTCTTCTCTCCCATTTTGTGGGTGCTCACCGTGAGGGGGCCGCGGTGGCGCGAGGAGAGGCGGGTGCGGGAGGTCGAGGCGAGAGAGAAGAGGGCTGCAGCCAGCGCCGGCGCCGGCGAAAGTGGATGATTGGCAAATTCGAGATGTTGTTCAAGTGTTGGAGCGTGAAGATTGACCTCGGATGGGAGGAAAACGATGAGAAAAAACGTTGGTCCTGCCAAGGGTCGAAGTCGAGTTGCTGGAGCCGGGATTCGCACCCGAGTTTCCGCCTTGGAAGGGCGACGAGTTAACTACTACTCCACTCCAACTTGCCATTACGCCACGGAGGACTTTGATCAGAGGTGTCGAATTCGGGCCTGATAAGGCCGGCGCGGGTCCGGTGACGGTCGTCCGGGCGACGGACGGGCCCCGGTGCCGTGTTTACTCACCCGCCCCGGCCAAGACACTGGCCGCTTGTCGACCCTGGCCTTCATGCGGAACTTCGGGGGAAACTTGGATGTCCGGCCACAGCAACCGCAGGCTAGCAGCTCATCACTTGTCTGTCTGTCTACCTGGACTCTCAGCCAGCAGGTGATCTAGAGGGACGATCTCCGGGCCTGCGTTGCCGGTGCTCATGACGATGCGCTGAGGCCGGGACCAGACTGCCGAGAAACAGAAAGGCGGCTCGAGCATGGAGCCAACGGCATGCAAAACATCTAAACCTGCACATGCAGACATTGACGCAAGGTAACACGCTTTACGAGGGGAAACAACAGGCTTGAAACTTGAATAGGTATGATGATAGCAGTACTCTCGATACAAGCGCAATCGGACCAAGCCAGCGGAGGAACACAGCGCTGTTGTGATGCAGTAAATAGGTGGATATCAGGGGGTATTGACAAACAAACAACATGCTCCTTCGGCTGCTAGAAATGCAACAGCAACAATACCAATAAAGTCGCAGACAGGGGGGATCTCCCAACACTCGATGCTCTCAAACACTGCGTGATCTTCGCAAGACACATCCAACAAAACTATCCCAGACATCGTTCATAAGGAAACCCATACAACATCCGTCATCATCATAAAAACTCATCCACCTCCCGTCAACCGCTTCCACCACGAGCTCCGTGGCGTGGTATCCATAAACATAGACGAGCCCCTCCGGCTATCCCGGCGCCCATCGCTCCCGTCCGAGCCCGTGCGCCGGTCCCCCCTGTCCCTCTCCCTCTCCCTCTCCCGCGCCCTCTCACTCTCGCGAGCACCACCATACTTCTCCCGCTCCCCCCTCTCGCGCTCCCTCTCCTCGCGCCGCCGCCTCCTCCGCCGGTCGTCATCATACTCCTCGGGCGTCATACCTGCCGCCTCGGCAGCATACTTGGCCTCGCGCCTCGCCCTGCGCGCTTGCACTTCGCGGAGGCGCGCTTCTTCTTCGTCGTCCCCCTCAACGTCAGCATGCGGCGGCGGTGGCTCGACGATATTCTCGTCGCCGTTGACCTCGGGCGGTGGCGGGGCGTCCGAGTGCTCCTTGACCCACGACGACGTGCCCGAGTGCGGCCAGGACCCGCCCGTGTTCTCCCGCGACGCCCTCGCAGGGTAGACGTGGTAGTCATCTCCTCTTTCGTCAACGAGCCTGCGTCTAGAATGTCGCTCCTCGCGTCCCATACCCCCCCCTTCCTTAGCAGCCTCGCGTTCGCGACGTGCCTCTCTGCGACGGCGCCGCTGCTGCTGCTGCTCTTCTTCGTCTTCTCCCCGAGAAGCTTGGGCCGCAGGAGCAGCTTCGTCGGGGAGATAGCTGCGCCGGCGCTCGTGATGCCGCGCGGCGCGGCGTGCTTCGGCTTCGGCCTCGGCGGCATCGACCTCGGCACGCCGTCTCCTGCGCTCAGCGCGCTCGGCCTCCTTCTGCTCCGCCGCGCGGCGCTCTGCGTCCTCCCGCGCGCGCTGCGCCCGCCGCTCGGCCCGGCGCGCCTCCTTCTCCTCCTGCCGGCGCGCCTCTTCCTCCTCTTCCTGCCTCTTGCGCCGCTCCCGACGCGCTTCGTCCTTGGCCCGGCGCGCCTCCTCCGCAGCGTGTTCTGTGGTGGTGGTGGTTGTGGCAGCAGCAGCACGCTCCGGGGCGGCATCCTTGTCTGCGCGCCGGGAACGACGGGCGGCGCGGCGCGCTTCTCGCTCGGCGTCGGGCTCGGGCTCGGGATCGCCTCGCCTGAGCCCTGCTTCGTCGTCTGTGGCAGGATAGGTGCCTCGGCGACGGGGTTCTGAGCGCGGCTCCCCACGCGAGGGGTCTCCCTTTGGGGTGTTGAGCATGCCGCCGAACAGGGAGGAGAAGCCCGACGACTTTTTTGATGTCGAGTTGGAACGCTTCGAGGGAGGGCGCGAGGGCGTTGCGTCGGCTACGTCGACCATGACGATGTCGTCGTCTCGCGGGTATTGCTGGAGCAAAGGATGATTATGTTAGTGCAACTGCCGTCATTCAACGGATCAATCATGCGACTCACCCTGGACCTTCGGCGCTCTGCTTTGTCGGGGCTGGGAATGGCATCGTTCGCGCCCACCATCACAATGTCGTCGTCATCGGCTGTGCCAGGGTTAGCATGGAGATAGACTTGGGGATCGGGAGCGGATACTGTGCTCACCTTTCCTGCTGCGCCGGCTACCGGACCTCGACAGACCGAAGGCGGCGGCCCCGGCGAGACCAGCGCCGACGCCAAGGACCTTGGCCGCCTTGGCCGAAATCTCCTCGGGCGGGGGGCTCATGAGACCAGCGTCCATGTCGGCCGAGTGCCTGCGTGAGCTCGACTTGCTGGCGCCGTGGCGCTTCTCCTTGGTCGACATGGAGCGGGACACGGGCGGGGTGCTTGCGAAGACGCTAGGGAACCGCGCCGGCGTATCCTTGGCCTTGGACTTGTCTGCCTTGTCTGAGCCGGACCCTCTTGACGGGGGCTTGTCGGCCTTCTCGGCCTTGTCGGCAGCGGACGACGACTTCTTCCGCGCGCTGGGCTCCTTCTCTGCTTTGGACTTGAACGAAGGCTTCTTCGGATCCTTGGTTGGCGTCGCCGTCCACATGTTCCACGATGACGAGCCGTCGCGATTGACCTTGGGCCGGTCTCTTCTCGCTGCGCGCGCCGCAGCCGGGGACATGGCCGGCGGCGCATCGGGCACGGCTGGGGGCGGAGGCGGCACCGGCGGCGGTGGCGGTGGAGGTACGTCGACGACTTCAGCAGGCGGCGAGGTCTTTCTGGATTTCTTGGATTTCTTCGGAGGCGCCATGTCGACGATTTCGACTATCTCATCGTCGCCGCCGTTTGCGTGATGGAAATTCTCCTCTTCGCTGTACGGGAAGCTGCCGGGCGGCCCAGAGACGGGCGGCGGAGGGGGAGGAGCGGATGGAAATGCGTCGATGTCGATGATGGGTTGCTTGCTCTTGGACTTGCCCTTCTTGGAACCCTTCTTCTTCTGCTCTTTAACTGGCGGCGACACGACTTCCTCGACGGGAACGACTGGTTCTGGCGGTGGTGGTGGCGGCGGCGGAGGAGAAGGCAGCGGCTCGTCTTGCGCGTCGTTGTCGGATTCGTCGTCAAGCACCTGGAAGGCGCGCAGGCGGTCAGCAATCTTGCCGCTGAAAGCCTTCCTGGGCTTCGCGGGCTTGGCTGGCTCGGTCTCCTCCCACACCGAGGTGGCAACGGGCCCAATGGCTGCGGCTGTGGCCGCTTCCAGAACGGGAGATGACTCAGCAGGTGCAATCTCCCAGGCTTCCGCCTGAAGAGGGGTGTCCTCCGCGGCGACCCCTGGAAACCACGAGCTGAGCCTGGACTTCTTGGACGTCTTCTTGGCAGCCCCCCAGAAGCTGAAGGCGTCGTCAGCGGGTGCAGGCTCCTCCTCCTGGACCTCCGGAACCTCCTGGACCTCCGGAACCTCCTGAACATCCTCCTCCTTTGGTTTGTCGGCCAGCAGCTCCTCAATCTCCTCAGCGGTGAGGTTGAGGTCCTTGAATTCGTCGTCCTCCACATCTTTGTCCTTTGATTTGTCCTTCGCCTTCTCCTTCCCTTTGCCTCTCTCCTTCTCCTTTTCCTTCCCTTTTTTCTTTTTCTTTTCCTTTTCCTCCTCCTTGTCCTTGTCTTCGCTCTTGGACTTGGACTTTCTGGACTTCTTTGAAGACGGTGCCGCCTCGGCTTCGGCTGCCGCTGCCGCCGCTGCCTCTTCTGACGCTGCTGCCGCTGCCTCTTCTGCTGCCGCTGCCTCTTCTGCTGCCGCTGCCTCTTCTGCTGCCGCTGCCTCTTCTGCCGCTGCCGCCGCCTCTGCTGCCGCCGCGGCGTCTTCGGCCTCCTGCCGCTCCCGCTCAGCCGCCTCCTCGGCCTCACGAATAGCCCTCTCCTCAGCCTCCTTCGCAGCTAGCTCCTCCTCCTCCCTTTGCACTCTCTCCTGCTCCGCGTCCTCGGCCTCGCGTGCCGCCTTCTCGTCCGCCCTCCTCCTGATGCTAACGATCAGACGGTCAAACCTCTCTTGGTCGCTCTTGGTCAGCTTGTTCTTCTTCGCCTTGGCCTTCTTGGCCTTGAGCGCCGCCAGCTCGTCCTCCTCCTTGGCCGCCAGGGCCTCCTCTGCCTCCCTGGCCGCCTGTTCTTCGGCCTCTTTCTGCTGTCGCTCCTCCTCCTCCTGCCGTTGCTGCTCCTCTTCTTCCTCCCTCACTATGTTACGGATTTAGTATGAGATGAATAAAAGCCAATTGCTAGGGGATTGTAGACGAGACAATGTGACTTACTTTTCTTGGCCGATGTCCCCAGACCCCATGCGTGGTCGTCAGTTCCATCCGGCTTGAGTGACTCGTCGCCCTTGGTCTTGTCGATTCCCGTGCTCCAGGAACTGAAGAAGTTCCCTAACTCAGCAGGCTTCTCAAAGTCAATGAGATCCTTCTCGGCCTCCTCGGGCGGCTCTGGAGGCTCCTCGGGCGGCTGCGGAGTCTCCTCAACGACCTCCTTCTTCTTTTTCTTGTCTTTCTTGTCCTTCTTGGAGGAGCCGAGTGAGCTCCAGAAGTCGTCCTCTTTCTTGGGGGCAGGCTCCTCATCTTTCGCTTTGCTCTTTTTCTTTTTCTTCTCCTTTGAAGTCGACAAACCCCATGGGTCGTCCTCCTCCTTGGCCTCTGGCTGAACCTCGGGTTCCGGCTCAGGCTCTGGGTCCTTGACAGGCTCCGGCTCCAGCTCCGGCTCCGGCTCCGGTTGAGTCTTCTTGCTCTTCTTCTTCCTGTCCTTCTTTTCCGGCTCTGTTGGCGGCGCCGGTTCTGGTTCCGCCACGGGCTCCAGTTCAGGTTCAGGTTCCGGCTCGGGCTCCTTTGCTGGCT